AGGCTATTGTAAAAGGAATTGTTTCCAAATATTCTTTCTCAATTTGTTCGTTGTTGGTGTATAGAAAAGCTAATGATTTTTGTAAGTTGATTTTGTATTCTGCCACCTTGCTGTAGCTGTTTATGGTGTCTGGGAGTTTTTGCATAGAGTTTTTTGGGTCTTTAAGATACAGTATCATGTCATCTGCAAATAGGGATATTTTGACAGTTTCTTTACCCGTTTGTATTCCTTTTATTTCTTCTTGCCTAATTGCTCTGACTAGGAATTCCAGTACTATGTTGAATAGGAGTGATGATAGTGAGCACCCATGTCTTGTTCCTGATTTTAGGGGAAAAGGTTTCAGTTTTTCACCATTAAGTATAATGTTGGCTATAGGTTTGTCATACATAGCATTTGCAATGTTGAGGTACATTTCCTTCTATTTCTAGTTTTCATAGTGCTTTTATCAAGAAGTGTGTTGGATCTTACCAAAGGCTTTTTCTGCATCTATTGAGATGATCAAGTGGTTTTTGTTTTTGTTTCTATTAATGTGCTGTATTACATCTGTAGATTTGCATATGTTGAACCACCCCTGCATTCCTGGGATGAGGCCAGGTTAGTCATGGTGAATGATCTTTCTGATGTGTTGTTGGATTCATTTTGCCATTATTTTATTGAGGATTTTTGCATCAATGTTCATTAAAGACATTGGCCTATATTCTCCTTTTTTGGAGGTATCTTTGTCTGATTTTTGGGATGAGTGTAATACTGGCTTCATAGAAAGAGTTAGGCAGTGTTCCTTCCCTTTCTATTTTGTGGATAAATTTAAGGAGAGTTGGTATCAATTCTTCTTTAAAGGTCTGATAGAATTCACCAGAGAATCAGTTAGGTCCTGGACTTTTCTTTTTTGAGAGATTCTATTGCTGCTTCAGTTTCATTTTGTGTTATAGATCTGTTCAAGTGACTAATAATCCTCTTGGTTCAATTTTGGATGGTTGTATCTGGAAATTTGTCCATTTCTTCAAGATTTTCAAATTTATTAGAATACAGATTCTCAAAGTAGTCTCTGATGATTCCCTGGATTTCCGTGGTGTTTGTTGTTGTCTCCCCTTTTGCGTTCCTGATTTTACTGATTTGGGTTTTTTCTCTCCTCATTTCAGTCATATTTGCCAGGGGTCTGTCAATCTTGTTTATTGTTTCAAAGAACCAGCTTTTTGTTCCATTTATTCTTTGTATGGTTTTTTGTTTCTACTTCATTAATTTTGGCCCTTGTTTTTATTATTTCTCTCCTGCTTGTTTTGGGTTTTGCTTGTTCTTGTTTTTCTAGGAGTTTGAGATGAAGCATTAGGTCATTGATTTGAGATCTTTCTGTCATTTTAATATATGCACTCATGGCTATGAGCTTTCCTCTTAGGATAGCCTTTGCTGTGTCCCATAGGTTCTGGCAGGTCATGTTTTCATTTTCATTGACTTCCAGGAACTTTTTAATTTCCTCTTATTTCATCAATGACCCACTGATCATTGAGCAATGTGTTGTTCAGCTTCCAGTTGTTTGCATGTTTTCTGCTGTTGTTTTTGTTGCTGAGTTCTAGTTTTAATGCATTGTGATCAGATAGAAAGCATGGGATTATTTCTATAGAAAAGTTTTTCTATAGAAAAGTTCTGGAGGTTTCCTGTACCTGAATGTGCATAACTTTCTCTAGATTTGGGAAATTTTCTGTTGTTATTTTATTGACTATATTGCAAATCCCTTTTATTTGCACCTCTTCTCCTTCTTCAATGCCCATGATTCTCAGGTTTGGTCTTTTGATGGAGTCATTGAGTTCTTGCATATTCCTTTTGCGGGTCTTGAGTTGTTTGACTAATAGCTCTTCAGTTTTTCCTTTAATTTCCATTTTATCTTCAGGTTCTGAGATTCTGTCTTCTGCTTGTTCCAGTCTGCTGGAGTGGCCTTCCATTGTGTTTTGTGTTTCTGTTTCATTCTTTTTTCTGAAATTTCCATATCACGGGTCACTTCCTCTTTAATATTGTGTATTTTAATCTTTAATCATTTGTTTATTTATAGTGTTGTCTGTTTTACTTTGGTGTTTAGGGCTCCTATGAGTTCATTTATTTGTATCTGTCTTCTCATATTCTTTATTTTTGGTGTCTTGAAATTTCTTGAGTGCCTCTTGTATGTTTTGGTTAACCATGTCTAGTAACATCTTCATGAAATTCTGAGTGATTACTCACAGGATTTCTTCTTTCAGGATGTTCTTGTGGACATCATTGGGTTCCTTGGCATCATTTAGCTTTGTTTTGTTGGAGTCTGGAACTGGGTATCTGTTTTCGTCATTTCCCTCTGAATCTTGTATTGAATTATTTTTGGGGGGAGAATGGTTTCCATCCCTTTTTCTTCTTTCCATTGCTCCACTTGGTACTGTGCAACTATGTTCTTGATAGGCTAGTTGGTGATTTCAGTCACCTGTTTTCTTTCCCTTGAGTTAATTTTGGTTTGTGGCTGTATTGGGTTTTTAGCTAAGTGCGTGTGTGCTATTTCTGTCCCTGGTCTGGGTGTAATTTAGTATTAACTAATTCACAATAATAATACAACAACAAAAAAAAACCCCAAAGAAATCAATGGGGAGAGATGAACAAACAAGAAACAAAACAAACAAACAACAAATTCCAGGTTCAGTAACAATAGAATTTCAGTCTTAGTTTGGTGTTACTCCTCTAGCATCCAGTCCTGGTGCTGGTATTTAAGCAGAAGCTCTGTCATAGTCTCGCCAGGTGGTTGGGTAGTGTTTGTTTGGATTTTTCTTCTGTCTTTCAGAGGCAGCTGCTTGGTCAGCTCCTCCCTCAGAAGGATAAGGCAGTTTAAGTTTGCATGCTGTCCTTTGGTTCCAGAGATCAGCTCTGTAGTCCACCAGCTGTCCTGCTTTGGAGTTGGGTTTTCACTGTGCTTGATTATTGGGGCCTTGTTTCTTTGCCTCGTCCCCTTTCTCTGGGGCAAGGTCAGTGATCTGTCAGCTGGCCTCCTGCTGTCAGTGTGTTGTGATGGTTTGCTGTTTGTTTTTCAATTTTGCAGAGCTGTTTGACTTTGGGTGTTGCTCACTGGCTCAGAAGATAAGCTGTGTGGTTTGCTGCCTGCCCTACTTCAGGCAGCGGCTTATCACCCGCCTGCTGTCGGCCTTACTACCTTGCAGCAGTTTGTTTACTCATAGTTAGCAAGGAGATCGGCTGTGTGCTAGTTTTCAATTCGTTATTGTTCAGTTTTTTTTTTTTTTTGTGTGGGAGTTGGGTGGGGGACAGGGGCATCATTCTGCCCGGGGGTGATGCTGGTTTATTCCAGGGGTGGCTGGGGGAACACTGCATGACACTTGGCGCTCACCTGTCTGTTCTGCCGAATGTCTCCCAAGCAGGTTTGGAGCTGGCATCTGGTGGGACCCCTTCTGTTTTGTCAGTGTAACGTGGCATGGAGAAGCTTTCTACAGGCTAGGGGTTCAGGGTGTCGAAGTTTTGATTCTCCTTGGTGCTGTGTTTCCACCAAGTGTGGCTCCAGCCTCTCAGCAAGGTTTTGGAGTCACTGAGCTCACTCTGTCACTTCTGTGCCCTAGTCACCATCTTGGATCCTTCTGTCAGCGTTTTCAAGAGGGAGAAACATTCACTTTAGTGAAAATGGGCCTTTAGTGTTGAATTGAAGAGACACATGTATCTGCTAGAAGAATACCATCTAAGTTAGAAGCTGGAGTCTTCACATTTAAATTGTTACTTAATATGTAAGAAAGCTATTGATTTTATGTATTGGTCTTTCAGAAATTTCTTAATATTACCAGTAGTTTATAGTTAATACTCGATTTTCTAGGTGAATAATGATCAGTTAGTAAAGATCATTTAATTTCTTTGCTGTAGTTTCTCCTCTATTTTCTGTTTTTACCCCACCCCACTTTCTTAGAAGAAGAGAGTAGTGTCGAGTGCTAATACGTCAGACATTATTCTCTTTATGTTTCACCCTAAGTATGTTTGTTGAAGCTTTTATTTGATACATACACATACATACTTAGATGTGCCTATGCCCTTCTGTCCTGTCCTGCAAAGGCTATGTTAATGATGTTGAAGAGAGCTGGGAAGTATGCCTTCCTTCTGCCTCGTGTTTATTAACACCTTTGTAGTTTTTAAGAGTTTGCCCAGCAAGCCTTCCAAGTTTAGTGGCTTCTGGAGAATAAGTCTTTGCAAGTACCTTTAGTTCATTGATCTCTTTCAGGTAGCCTTCCTCATTTAGAGTCAGTAAAAAGAGACCATTTCATTTAGATATTGATAAATGTGGCATAAAATTGGACATAATGTATTCTTACAATGTTCAGTCTTGTGTATGACTATGGCTATGTCCTCTGTGTTGCTCCTGATTTTTTTTTCATTTTAACCCCTCTCCCCTTGGTCAGACTTGCCAAACTCGTATCATTGTGTTAGTTTTTTAAAAAAACTATATTTAGTTGTTTTGAAAAAAAATCTTATTTGTAGATTATTTCTTAATTTTTTATCACTGTAATTCCTTGTGCTTTCTTTAGTCTGATTTGATACTAAGGTTATACAGTTTTTTCTGAATACTGTATTAGCTCTGTATTATGTATAGCTAGCTACCTTTTTCTCACTGCCTATTGTATATTTCCTTTGCCCTCAGCCAGCTCTTCAGCTGTGTTATTCACTGAGTACTTAAGGGTAGAATTTATGTTTATATTATGTATGAAAATCTTCCAAGCCGTTTCCAGATGGCCGTACCACTTTATATTCCTGACAGCAGTATTGGAGAGTTCCAGTTTCTCCACATCCTCATCAACATTTGATTGACATTTCTGTTTATAGCCATTTTAGAAGAGAATATATGTAGTGTCTTACTGTGGTTTTAATTTCCATTTCACTAAGGATGAGCATATTCTGCATGCAAGTCTCTTATCACAAATACAATTTTATTTATGATTTATGGTCATGTTAGTAGAGAGTAATCTTATTTTGCAGAATTCTTTTTTTTTTTTTTAAAGATGGTCTGGATTTCTACTATTCCTCAAAACAGCATGCTCAGAAGATGGTTGAATTTCTTCAGTGTACAGTTCCCTGTAGGTATGTTGTGAACTCAAATGTGATTAAGTCCAGGGATGGATGTAGGTCACATCTGTTCTTCAGACTCAAATATTTTATGTTAAGCTATTTTAAATTGTAGTAGGACTACATACATAATCAGGAAGCATTTATTGAGTGAGCTACTTTAAGGGATATTGGGAAGCTAGCTCTAACTCCATGATGATAAACATTGTAGTGCTAAGGCATTGATCAACTGTGTTTAAGTGATAAGAGAGATGGGACTATGGATAGAAGATTGATAGAAGAGCTAGGATTTGTACTCCAAAGATGGGGGAAATTCTTCATAGGTATAGTTTATATTGAAAGGTGAGGTTAGCATAAACAAAGACATGTAGTGGGCATTTGTATGGCTTTTAAAGGGTGCTATATAAAGAGTAGATTGGTCTGAATGAAAGGATCTGTTTTATTGTCTTTTTAGTAGAGAAGGTTGAAAGTAGATAGGTATCATCATGGTGAAGGTTTTGGAATACAAGTAGATGAAACTAGGCTTTGTCATGGGAGGCATCAGGAAGCTGTTTCAGATCTTGGATGGTGATAATTTGATTTGATGAAAATTGATATTCCTGCCTATCAAAGGATCTATGCCTTTCTATTACATTAACTTTTTTTCTTAATAGGTACAAAGCATCACAAAGACTGATCTCTCAGGATATTCATAGTAACACATACAATTATAAAAGCACATTTTCAGTGGAAATTGTTCCAATATGCAAGGTACCCTTTTTTCATTTAATTAATTCATATCTATAAAAGACAAGAAATTAACTGATTTATATGTAATTTGTAGGTCCTGGTTTCCTTCTGGGGTGGCTAAAAGTATAGAATATCATTTTTAAATGATCTGTTACACATTCAGCCTTATAAAAAAATAAAGTAATCGTGTCTTTTGGTGTATTAAGACACAAAGACCTATTGCATTTTTTTAAAAGTTGATATTCCTTAAAAATTGTGATCCTAGTGGGCATATGACAGTTTTCTGGAACTTTGAATTACAAGAAGTTGTATTTTAAATAATCAGTGAGCCATTTGTGGAACACGTGCAAGCAGGATTTGGGCAAGATTAAATTAAACAATACTGCGGAAATGAGATCATACAACCATTTTTATTTGAAAACAATCTGAATAAAACATTTAAAATGTAGATTGTTTCATTTAATTGTACTGAGATAAAACTCTGCTTCAAAAATATAAAAAATGATAACTCAGTAAACAGTTATTAACATTTAAATATAGAATGCTGTGCTAACAACACGTAGCCAGACATCTTTCCCACGTAGAAACTTGTATGTTGATATTGAGTCACTAATAACTGTGAACTGTCATAATCAGGTACTTTAGTGTCTTTCACTTCTTTCACGTCTCATACTAACAGGGTTGAGCCATATCAGTTTGAAGATAAGGAATTGAAACTTGGGCAGGTTAGATGACTTGGCCAAAGTTACAGAGCCATGAAATAATGAGGCTGGAATTTGTACACAGATCAGTGACTTTAATGCTTTAAAGTGGTTAGCACTAATACATGGTGTAGTACAATACCAGGGGAAATGATGACCTAAAACATGGTTGACAAGCTTTCTGTAAAGGCCCAGTTAGTAAATATTTTCTGCTTTTAGGTTGTATAATCTCTTCTGCAACTACTCAACTCTGTTATTGTGTGAAAGTAGCCATGGATAATATGTAAGTGAATGGGCAGAGCTATGTTCTGGCAAAACTTTACAAAAAACAAGCAGTGGTCCAAATTTGTCCTGGACACCAATACCTGCCTCCCCCCTCCCCCCCAATCCCTGGTTTATTTTCCTGACACAAAATCTGAGAAATATGAACTAGGTGTGAGGGCATTTAGGCCTTGTGTATTAAATACACAGTATAAAGAACTACTTGACAGCTGTAGGGGATGGGCTCTAGGACCCCTGAAAATAGCAAACTCTTGAGATGCTCCAGTCCCTCAGTGGTGAAGTATTTACATATAGCTAATTCACATCCCCCTGTATACATTAACCGTCTCTAGATTATTTACACCTAAACAATGTGAATGCCATGTGAATGGTTGTTATGCTGTATGTTTAAGGAATGAATGATGGCAAGAAAAAGTGTACATGTTTAGTACAGGTGTAGTTCTTTAAAAAATTTTTTTTGATCAGTAGTTGGTTGAAATTGCAGAAGAGCACATGGATATAGAAGGCTGACTGTATTTTTATTTTTTTTTTGTAAACTCTTGAGTTCAAGACCAAGGCCTAGAGTAGGAACTGTTATGCACAAATTGCCCCTTTGGTGGAGTCTACAAATGTGAATAGGCAGAGCTTAATATAAAACCCAGATCCTGTTACATTTTTCAGTTTTAAAAAATTGCATTGCTGGTTAATATAATTTATGTGACTTTTGGTCATTAAGCTTTTTATTGCCTGTTGGTAAATGTAGTCATTTAAGAGAAATCTGTTATTCTTTTGAAATTTGTCTTTTTATGGAGATTAAAAGAAGTCACTAGTTAGATTTAGAAAATCACTCTAAATTTTTTTTGTATGGGGGGTGCCTAATACTGGGGTTTGAACTCAGGGCCTTGTGCTTGCTAGGTAGGTACTCAACCACTTGAACCACACTTGTATTCCTTTTGCTAAAGTTGTTTTTCAGATGGGGTCTTCTTGTGCCTTGCTTCTCCTACCCATACCTCCCAGGTAGCTGGGATTACAGATGTATACCACTATTCCAGTCCTACAAACCACTCTGCTCTGCATGTTCTGTTTGCTTAGAAAATATACTGTATAGACATATAGATAGGAACCATCCATAAAGCAATAAAATTGAAATAAACTTAATAATAGCTTAGAGAATAGACCCTGAAATATTTTTAAAATATTTAATTAAGACGAATATGTCTGTCTTAAGAATGTGTAGCTTATTTTCAATTTCTTTAAGGTCAAATTCTTTTTTGTAAACAGTTCATTGGTACACGAGTGAAAAATAACATTTTGAAGCTGGGTGTGGTGTGCCTATTTGTAATCCCAGCAATGGGTGAGTCTTAGGCCAGCTTGAGCTACATAGGAAGACTCTATCTCAAAAAGAAACAAAACAAAAAAACTTGGGTTGGGTAAGTACAGTTTGGTCAGGTTTACATTGATGACTTTATAGATCGATATTTAGGATCTGCCTCATTTTTTTAAACTAATTAATTCTCTACTTCATTTTAAATGTTACTTCTGATACCTAGGATAATGTTGTCTGTCTGTCTCCAAAACTGGCACAAAGCCTTGGAAATATAAATCAGATATGTGTATGTATTCGAGTATCCAGTGCCATCCATCTCATAGATCCAAATACTCTACAAGGTAAGTTTTTGAAGCTACACTGGCCTTGACAACTTTAGCCTGTATGATAATAATAATAATTTATAGTGTTAATTTTGTCATGCTCGGTAACAATTGTTCTGAAAGGCTAAATAGAATTTGTAGTGTTGTTTAATACTTACAAAACACTGGAATTGTAAAGCTTTTAATTAGTTACTCTTGTACTTGTTTAATAAATAAATCAATTTTGTGAATTTTTATGAATTTCCTTGTTTTGGTCCATTAGTTTTTACTGAAACATTTATTTACTACATTTAATTCTTGTGATTAATTAAGGTCATTGCCAAATTTTAGTTTTTAATAGTTTTTTTTAAATTTTGGAACATTTGACATTTTGTAATTCAGTGGGACGTTTAGTTTACAAATATAGTTAATTTCATCAAATTTTCTTTTTAAATTATTTTTTTAAGAAGACATATTGATAGAAGTTTCCTCAGTTGAAAGAAGCTTTATCTCTTTTTCCGATTTTGTAGGTTTCCTGTAATTTAAGTTTTCTGTAATAAAAAATTCAGTTTGTTATTTCCCAGAAAGCCATTCATTATTCTTATTAATTACTGTTCATCAGCAAAAAATATATTTTCGGTATTAGGGTGGACATTCTTTTTTAATTTTTTTTTTGTTTTTGGTTGGCTCTGGGGTTTGAACTTAGGGCCTTGCGCTTGCTAGGCAGGCAGGTGTTCTACCTCATGAACCGTGCCCCCAGCCCAAGTCTGACAGAAATTCTTCATCAGGCAGAATTAGGCTTTATTTCCCATAAAGTGCACAGGTAATATGACTGATCCATTTCTAAAATAAAACGCCAGTATGTGAAACAACTATACAACTGCTTGAATCTGATCTTAGAAGGCACTTAGCTCTGTGGCATTTTGATTATACTAACTTATTAAGATGTGTTTGCCTTAAATTTCCTTTGTGCTGTAAGAAGTTTGGGGTTCATTTATGAGAATCAGTGATGGTCCTAGAGAGTGAGGTGGCACTGTGGTTGTATTGATCTGATGCCTGTCATTTTGTGTATACCGTCTTCCTAGTTGACATGTATGGTAACTTGTTGAAATGTGTGAGTTCTCTTGTATTTTAATGTTCTGTGCTTATTTTTAGTTGCCGATATTGATGGGAGCACTTTCTGGAGTCATCCTTTCAATAGTTTATGCCATCCCAAACAGCTCGAAGAGTTTATTGTGATGGAATGCAGCATAGTCCGAAATATAAAACGCAGTGCAGGTGCTGGGATGATATCAAAAAAGGTAAGATACATCCTCCCACCTTTTTTTTTTTCCTTTGTCATTTTATGGTTTCAGTTCCTCTTTCTTTTTTAAATTTGTTTTTATTTGTTGGTAATCCCAAAATGTGGACTCCAGATAGAGCAAGCACCACATTAAGCTAACAATGCATTTTTAAAAACATGGGGTCATTGTGTTAAAAGTTATCAAACTTACGCGATGTGATAAATTGTTTTTTTCTCTTTTGTTGTTACAGAGTATTTAAATGTTTATTTTGTTGTTATAAAAATTTTTTCCTTACTTTATTCTTACAGAGGAGAGGACCAAGTTACCAACTAAGTTCATGGCTTTTAGAAAATCATTACTAAGTACTGAGTACTTCAGTATGTGTCTCTAAAACATAGGATATTTTTCTACATAATCAGTGTATTACTGTTACCTATAAACTATTTAGTCTATGTTCAGGTTCCTTCATTTGACTCAGAAGTATTTTTGTGTTTTATTCAAACAAGTATCCAGTTGGGAATCACATATTACATCATATGAATATTGTACTTCTTAAATGTTTTATTTAATAATAACTTCTTTCCCATCTTTTTTCCTTTCACTTTTTTTTTTGGTGGTAGTTGTTATGAAACCAGCTTCCTTAGACAAATAGGGCATTTATCTTGTAGAATACTTCAATTTTTGTACCTGTCTTACTGCTTTTTCAAGATCTCATTTAACTTGCTTTTATTGTATTTCCTCTACACTGGAAAGTAGACCTAATAATTTGGCTAAATTCAGGTTAAATACTTTTTGCCAGAATATTTGAAAGGTGATGCCATGTACTTTTTGTGATATATTGAGATGAGTAATGTCTGCCTGTGTCACTAGTTAAAAGGTTGATAACCAGATCCCTCCATTGTAATGGTATGTTTGTCCCCTGTGTAACCAGCAAGTGAAGTGTGAAGTGATACTGTAATAATATGGATATACCAAGTTCATATTATCTCTTTCTTTTTGTCTGTGACATGTTTATAATTCTTACCTAAATTATTTTATTTAGGGTTATAAAATATTAAACTTTCTATTATTTCTTCTGCATTTATTTGCTAATATTTTTTATTAAGAGCTTTCCATCATCACCTAATACTATTTGGATTTCCTGAAATGCTTTTTAATTCTTAATTCTGTCTCTTTCAACATATTTTCAGAATAAAGAGTTGGTCTAAGAGTCACTTCCAGTGGTGAAAATTAGCTTAATGTCTCTTTCTTTGTGATTATCATTATGATCTTACTAAGTATTACATCTTTGTCTTCCTCCTCCCAGTCTTTGTGTTTCTAAATGCTCAAATTGCCCCATATTTACCCAGTTGGGATCCCTTCAGAATGATTCCTATTTCCTTTTGATGTGGTTTCTCATGTCTTTGTAAACATGCTTACTTCTTGGCACAGATAATACAACATTCAAGTGTTCTAGAATTGCATTGTATGTTTTTTTAGCCCATATCTGAAATCAAGTATTTCTTCAAGGATAGAAGTCTGTTGTCTTTTAGTATGAAATAATACTAGAGATACCCTAGTCTGTGTACTAAAGATGCTTATTTCTTTTCCTTTAAAAGGAAAATAACTTTTGATAAGTTGGAAAATAAAAAAAACAGCAGACATGGAAGACAGTACTTTCTATGCATTTATTTAAAATAAGAAATGATAACTGGTTAAAAATAAACAAAACTTTTCATTTTTAATGAATGTAGAATAATAACAAGATGTTATACTTTCTTGTTTTTCAAAAATATATTTAGGTGGAATAGATTTTTAAGTCTTTTATAAGTAGATTGCAGCATAGAGCTAGACAGTAAATCCTGTTATATAGAATTTAGTCTCTTCATACTCAGTTTTGTTTTCCAGTTCTTGCTAAATTTTTAGACCCGTCTTTTGATCTCTTTGTTTTGAAATTCCTTAATTCTGTCATGACTTAGTATTTTGCTCTTGATCCCACTTTACTTGGTCTGTCTTTGTTAGTAAAAGTTTGGTATACACTGTATTTAATCCAGCCTGGAAGTTTGAAAATGTTAGTTATAAATGCTTGTAAAATCTTATGGTGAAAAGGGAATTGATAGTTTTGTAGTTGAAAATTTCAAACTTTGGGTTTTATTTGTGTAACAAATAGTTTAATCTGAGGAATTAATTTGATAAAGATTTGGGTTCTTTATTGGTGTACCACTAGGATTTCGAGGTTGTTTTGTTAGAAATTTGATTTTTTGAATCCTTTGTGTCAAACAAGCTATTGCTTGGAATATGTTTTTTGCTTTAAGATTCTTCTGCCTTTTCGTCATTCCGTTTGCTCAGCCTATTGGCCAGTCTTATTAAGAAAGCATTTCTTTTGAAAATTCTGTTTTTTCAAGGGACATTGCTAATGTTTTATAGAAACCTCAAATAAAATTTTAACAAAAGTCAATCACATATTTTTGTGATTTCCTTATGAATCTTTTTCCATACTCATAATTTGATAATTTGTTAGTGTTTTAGAGATCTGGAAAATTTAAAATGAAAATTAGAAAACCAAAGTCAATATCGTATATCATTTTTGTATGAGGTCCTTCTTGAATTATGTTTAGATTATTGAGAGAGTGCATTTTCTTTTCTTTTAAGCATACCCTCGGGGAAGTCTGGGTACAGAAAACATCTGAAATGAGTACAGATAAACAGTATTTTTGTCGCACTCATTTGGGACATCTTCTAAATCCTGGAGACCTGGTGTTGGGGTTTGTATTATTTTTCCATTTTAAATTGCCAATTAGCATTGGAAATTTTCTTTGAGAGCCAACAGAGCTGCCTGAAATACTGAAGTTGTTCATTCCAAAAAGATTTGAGAGTTTTTAGAAGCCTTATTATTAATTTTTATCATTCTTAACTGTGTGAAACCACGTATTGGCAGACGCCCATAGTTTCATTTTAGCCATCATTCAAGAGTCATTTGTTCTAAGAGTTTTGTTTATGAGCCTTGAATTTATGTAGTTAGATTTAAATTTACAGCTTTTTGGGAGAGTGGGTAGCTTTTTTATTATGCAGTTGCCGTTGGGCAAATAGCTCACTTTTAAGAAATGTCAGCCATATATGAGAGCATCTATAAAGGCATAAAACAGTTCTTTCTGAATCAGAGCTTATCAGAGTGCTTTAAGCACTGCTTTTGGTTTTAGGATCTGCAGAAACAGGTTCACTACATAGGACATTTCAGAACTTCTAAAGTGGGACACGTGTAGTGTTTGACTTAGAAGAAAGTTTTAAATAATGTCCATAAAAAAAAGTGTTACATGCAGAGGGGACAGTCATTACGTTTTTCATGTTTGCATTTCAGGTTTGATTTGGCCAACTGTAACTTAAATGATGAGCATGTCAACAAAATCAACTCAGATAGAATTCCAGATGTGGTAAGACTTTAGATTTTTATCCCCCCCCCCGCTGTGTTAAAGAGGATTAATGTAACTCTTATGAGTAAGGTGCATAAATTCACACTTTTGAAAATACCAAATCAATTTTGAAGTTAAAATATAAAAGCAGAAGTGTTCATTTTAAACTGTTTTTCTTGAAGGTGTAAATCCAGGCTTTATTGATTTTTAATCAAATTTTCATTAGATTTGCAGCTAGAAGTAATGGCCTTTAGAATTTATTCAGGCTCATTCTTAACTAGATTGCTTATTTCATGTGTATTGTGTGTTAGAGGACATTTAGAGTTAGGTCTGTTCAATATTAAGTGTAATTGCAGTTGGAAATCTTTTGTGTCTACTCTTGGAGAAAGACTTACGTTCTAACATGTTGAGTTTTAAGAATGCTGAATAGTGAATGAAGTCATTGCGAAAGCCCTGTCTCCTACTTGTTTAATCTTTTAGAATAAACATTAATTTCTTTAGTTGTGGGCAAAGATTAAGTCATGGTAAAAGAAGGACCTTTTCCTCACCCAGTTATTCTTTAACTGATTGTTAAAATGGAAATAGGATAGTTTGAGTATAAATCCAAATAGGTATTTCTAACAAAGTCACAAGAGGAAATCGTGGCCGTCTTAGAAGATTTTGTGTTGAGTAAAATTATTTTCACTTATTTCACAATTATTAAGCAGTGTTTTAAGTAAAATGTTGTGAAAGTTATATATAGTTCTGTTAAGTGCTTATTAGTGGGAGTAAAAGAAAAACTGTCTGCTTTTGATGTTTCAGAATGAGGTATATGAATGGTGAATGGTAGTTGAAAATCGAAGTTTGAGTTAAAAAAAAAAATAACTACAGGTTTTGAGTGTTAAAAAAATTTAGCTGGGTGCTGGTAACCCATGCCTATAATCCTAGCTGTTTGGGAGGCTGACATCAGGAGGATCTTGATTCAAGGTCAGCCTGTGGAAATAGTTCTCAAAACCCCTTTCTCCAAAATAACCACAGCAAAATGGACTGGAGGTGTGGCTTAAGTGGTAGACCATCTGCTTTGTAAGTGCAAAGCTCTGAGTTCAAACCCCAGTCCCACCAAAAAAAAAAAAAAATTCATTCACTGGAAAATTTCAGTTAGTAAGCTTTCATGATGATATACCTAATGCCCAAGTACAGTCTTATGTAAATATATGAAGAACTCTTAAAGGCCCCTGACACTGCCTTTGATCTCTGTACCTTTCTCCCGAGGTATAATCATGATCACCAATTTGTGACATCCTGGCATTCTTGTAACCTTTATTTCTTAACTTTATTGGATTTTGTGGCCCTACTGTGTAGTTTCTGTGTTTTGTAACTTAGTGAATATTTCTGTTACAGGTATTGATCAAGAAGAGTTATGACCGTACTAAACGTCAGCGTCGTAGAAACTGGAAACTGAAAGAGCTTGCAAAAGATAGAGAAAACATGGATACAGATGATGAAAGGTCCTGATTTCTTTAACCCTTAAGTTGTCTCAGAGGAAATCCTTATGAGAAATCGTTTTTATGTTCTAAGAAATAAGCATCAGGTGGGTGTGGTAGCTCACACTTGTAATCCCAGCTGTGCTGGAGGCATAGATTGGGAGGATCTTGGTTTGAGGCCAGCCTGAGTAAAAAGTTAGGGGGACCCCATTTCAACCAACAGGCTGGGCATGGTGGTTCACGCCTGCAGTCTTAAGGCTGGCCTTCAGTTAAGAATGTGAGACCCTGTCTGAAAAATAACTAAAGCAAAAAGGACTGGACGTATGGCTCAAGTGGTAGGGCACCTCTTGCAAGCATGAGACCCTGAGTTCAAACTCCAGTGCCTAAGAAAGCAAGAGAGAAAGAGAAATAGGCATCACACAGTTGATCCTTGCACTCAGTATTAATTTTGGATTTTATCAAGGTATTGATGGAATTGGTTTAAGAGGGATATAATGACATTTAATGAAAATTTAGTAATTCTTTAATTACCACCTTATAATTTCAGTGTTAATGTAAATAATTCAGTCAAATAGTTAATATTTGATAAACAGTTAACCTTGTGGATTTTACAAATAGCAGATGAATACTTACAACTTGAGTTGAAAAGAAAATGCCTCATTGACATCAAATATATTCTTTCTCAAATGAAGACAATGTGTTTTAAGAAAGTTTATTCAGTGATTAAAGTGGTCTTGATGATGGTGGAAACATTAATTTATTAAAAATCAAAGTTTATATAAAATTGTTATAAAAATTCATGATATTGGGAAACAGCAATATTTCTAAAATACAATCTTATAATGTAATTTAAAATAAATATATAGCATGTTAGATTAATCAGAAATTATAAACACATATTTGACTATTTCTTTTGTAGTCTTAAAAGTCCGTGTATTTCATCTTGGCCATAATATTGTTTTCGGGGAGGGTGGAGGTGGGAGTTATCTTCTCATTGTCTTATATAATATCACCTTATATTTAGCTGTTTTCATCATGTAAGTTTGAAAGAAAAGATTTTTTAAGTCTGTCAGTATTTAACTAATACTCATATTTGGCCTTTTTAAGATTGTGATTCTTGGATTACATTTACCATGCAGTACTGAAAGCATAAACTTCATTTTCTTCTGAAGATGAAATATTTAACTTTCTTTATCCTGTAGGCAATATCAAGATTTCCTTGAAGATCTTGAAGAAGATGAGACAATTAGAAAAAATGTGAACATTTACAGAGGTTGGTGCTTAGGAGTATTTGAGTTAAGCCATATGTTGTATATAGTACCAGTGAGAAGATTTTGGTATCTTAAACTTGGATGCCCATAAGTGACTTTTATTGTTTGTTTCTTAAACTGCTATAGTCAAACTTAAAATGCTTCTAGAATAGTAAAACTTAAAATGTTTTTCGCTGTACCACATTTGGTATCATTTGTATCCTAGTATGATCCCTCCAGTTGCTAGCTTCTATGCTGGTGGAAATTTATTTATACATTTATTCAGTTCATTCGTTCAGTGAGTATTTGAATGCCTGTTCTAGGTAAGCTACAAGTGCTTCTCGTGCAGCATAATTAAATAATACTAATGATAGTAGAGGAGCAGGTTTTTGTGTGTTTCCATATTTGTATTTATTTCCTCCTATTTTCTTAGATTCAACCATTCCTGTGGAAACTGACACAGATGATGAGGGAGCACCTCGAATTAGTCTGGCTGAGATGCTTGAAGACCTTCATATTTCCCAAGATGCCACTGGTGAAGAAGGTGCATCAATGATGACATAATGAGACCATGTTACTGACCATTTACATATCTGTGGACAAAATAAACTTTTAATGTATACTCCCAGTTTTGATAGGAGAAATTTGTTTTAAACCTGAGTAAATAAGAGTATTTTGATTGTTCACTCAAAGTACTGAAAAGGTTTCATTGCTTTGAAGTTTAAGATAATAAAAGATTAGAGAAAATGTAATTATTCTTGATATTTATGTGGACAGTTGTATCACTTTGCTTTTTGATATATGAAGCACTGTAGTATTTTCACATGCCATAGTGCCAGCTTCAGAAGTTCAAAATTTGTGATTTCTTGAGTGCTGACTAAATATTCAAGCATATACAAGCTTTTTTATTGGTTTTACATCAGTTGCTTTATTAGCATTTGAAAAGCATATGAAGACTCATTTTTAATAAGAACTTGTTATGCACTTTGATACACTATAGGTAATTTTTATGTTCTTAGAGCAGGAAAATTTGGGTTTCTTCATAAAATTAATATCTTGAGAAGTTTTTGGTTTTTTTCCTCTGGTGCTGGGAATCAAACCCAGGGCCTTTAGCTTGCTAAGTAGGTGTTAGAAAGAAATATATTTAAAATGTTTGCAGATTTATAGGAAATATAGAGTAGTTATTTAAAGATTATATAACAGTTTGTTCTTTTTAAAATTTTGTTCAAGTCAGCAACTTAGGGAATTAGCCTATTTATATCATAAAAATGTCTTTCTATCAAGGATTTTGCTTTAAAAACTTTGGTTTGCAAATTGAGAAGGGAGAAACTGTCTCTGAATTTGTCATTGAATGTATCACCATCAAAAAAGAATATGAGATTCCCACATGTAGATGATGAAAAGAAAAATGAGGTACATTGCTTTATAAAACCATGAATCAGATTTGAATGAGGAGTGCCTTCCACACAGGAAGAGTCTTGACTTGGGTTTTAAAGTGTTCTGAGAATGAAATACGATATACTGTTTGTGCACGCAACATCATACTTACTAAATGTGCCATACTAAGTGCTATGTAGTTCATTCTGTTCATATTGCTAAATAAAGAGTGAGCAAGTACTGAGTGGAACATTTTCTTCTTAAGATTAGACTCCCATTTTGAAGTTACGAGTAAAAGAACTTTCCATAGTGATTCCCTTCTGTATGCATACTCAGTTGAAGTTGTGGATCTAAGATATCCTATCCTCAGTGGTATGCTAGTTGGAATAGCTTCTTCAAAGGTAAGCATGGCCATAACAAGTTCTCATTTTGTGGTCCATGTTCACCTCTTTTATGTCAAGGTTTTTAAAACAAAAATAAAACCATCCTGAGTATTAAAACCTGCTAGTTGAAAGAAGGCTGCGAAAAGACAAATGACGGGGAAACAGTATCATTCAACAGCTTGCACAGAGTTAAACACCTTGATCAACCTAACATTTTAGAGTATGGTTCCCATACTCCAGAGGCTTGTGGGTCTACAGCACTCTGAGTGCTGCACCAGAGTTGATGTGGATTGGCAAAGCTGGTATAATCAAATGCATAAGAAGCTGATTTATAACCAGCTTTATAAATATGACTGATACGTAAGTCAGTATGATTATTTAATGTAGCCACTCAAACCCACACTTGAAGCTGCTGTTGTATACTCAAAAGTATCTGATGAGCAAGAAAGCTGAAGGAGAGAGAGAGACTTTTAACAGCATCCAGGATAGAACACAGGAATTCAGGAACTCTGGGCTATACGCCAGGACACTCCTTGCTGACTACTGAGTCGGTGCCAGAGCTTTTTTCAGAATCTTAATTTTGGTAAGTCTGTTCTTGTTGGGTCTCTTGTTAGATTACTTGGTATATTATTTCCAGCTTTCTTGGCCTATTCTAACCCATAGGACAATTTTTAAGATTATTTTTAATTTTTCTATTAACTTCAGATTTTCAGAAAGTTACAAGAATACTACAAAGAATTCCTGGATACCCTTTTCCCAGATTTGCCAAATAGAAACATTTTGCCTCATTGGTATTTATTTTCTTGCTCGCTAGTTATTTTTCACTCAGTTGTTTAAGAATAATGTACAGGCTAAGGGTTTGGATGAGTAGTAGAACTCTTGCCTAGTGTGCTCAAGGCCCTAGCATGCTCAATCCCCAGCACACCCACAAAGAATAAAACAGGCTATATTCATGACGTTTCTTTAAATAATTTCCCTGATCCTTCATAGAAAAAAGTAAATCTAAGATTTTTGCTTTGGGTTCTCATGTATCTTGAATCTGCGGCAGTTCTGAGTGTATGTTTTATGTAATTGACATTTTTGAAGAGGCCAAGCCAGTTATTTTGTAGAATAACTTCAATTTGATTTCGTCTCATGTTTTCATTTGATTAGATTTAGGTTATGCCCTTTTGGCAGGACTACTTCAGCAGGGATGCCAAACTGCATTGTGTCAGGAGGCGTGTGCTGTCTGTCAGTCCGGACGTTCCCAAAACTTCTTGGGTTATTACTTGGGTTTTCTGTTGTAAGGAAGAGCCCTCCCTTCATGTTTCCTTAGTCATTTGTCTTTTATATCACTGTGGATTCAGGATTTTTACTTTAACCCAGTAAGATTTAATTGTTCGTTGTTTATTTTCACTTGAGTTTTTAAAAAGTTTACTCTTTGATGTACAGGTCTAAATTTTAACATATAGATTATGTAATCACCACAATCAAAATGCGTAACAATTTTATTATGCTCCCAGGAAAAATTTCCTCATGCTACCCCTTTGTTTTTATATCTTTCCCCTGTCAGTTTCCTTGGCAGCTTCTCATCTGTCCTTTGATATTACAGTTTGCTTCTTCCAAAGTAAATAAAAGAAGCCATAGCAGCTTTGTGAATCTGGTTTGGATAACTTAGTCTGGTGCACTTGAAATTTGTCTGGGGTGTTATATATATATATATATACGTGTGTATATATATATATATATATATATACACACATATATATATATATATATTTTTTTTTTTAATCCAGAGTTGGTTCCTTTATTTCTGAGTAATACTCCATTCTGTAGGTGTAGCACAGTTTATCTGTTCCTCTGTTGAGGCACATTTAATTTGTTTCCAGTTTTTGATGATTAGTAGTAAAGCTACCATGAACATTTCTGTACAGGTTTTTATTTTACTTCAATAAGTTGCTAGAAATGGGGGGAGGTCTGGAGGTAGATGAGTGGTAGAGCATTTGCCTATCATGTGTGAGCCCCTGAGTTATCTACTCTAGCCCTGAGAAACAAACAAACCAGGAATGAGATTGCTAGATCTGTAGTAAGATGTATATTTAACCTTATAAAAATCTGCCTGACTTTTCTAAAATGATTTGTGTCATTGCATTTTCCCAACAGCAACATGTGAGAGTCAGTTTTTTGAGATAGGGCCTTGTGAACTATTTGCCCAGGACTGTCTTCAAACTGTGATCCTCCTAATCCTAGCTCCTGAGTAGCTAGGATTACAGCCATGAGCCACTGGCGCCCAGCCTCTGCTTTTTTGACTTACTCCAGTTGGTGGGTTGTGTAGAATAGTTGTGTGTGTGTGTATATGTTGAGTATTTCCTTATATTCTGGCATTTTGTGCTGCAGACTTACATATTTACTCCCCTAGAATCAGCATTTTTCCAAAGTCTGGTTGTACTTATTGGAGAGTGGTTTTAGAAACCATTATTAAGTACATTCTAGATGGAAACAATAAATCAATGTGAAGCAACCAGAGAATTCAAAAAAAAAAAAAAACCATTATTAAGGCGAAAAGAATTGTTGCTCCTGGAGTGTCATTCCATGTATTTCCTTTCGGTTGATAGCAAAAACCAAAAAAAACCCACCTTTTAAAAAAAAAATTATATTAAATGCTTCCATATGTAACCATCAGTATGTACATCAAGATAAATGAGTTCATACTGATGTCTCCAGTAGATCAATCTGGCTTGCTCTCCTTGTTTAGCTGGAAACTCTCACTCCAACAGTGAAAAAGTTGGTTCCCACCACCTGCCATTCTTTTAATTAATTGTTCAATTCCAGGGTATATGTATAGCAGTATCAGAATTGTTAACTTGCAAAATTTAACTTGCAGAATTGTTAACTGGTTCTGACCCAGTGAAATTTTAAAGAAACAAGCAGCAGACCTGGGCACTGTAGTATAATTTACTTTTTTTTTTTGAGATGGGGTCCAGCTATGTTGTCCAGGCTAGCCTCGAAATCCTGGGATCATGCGATTCTCTTGCCTTCCAAAGTAACTTTGTAACGCCTTTTACTTTTACTCTAGTGTTGGGAAATTAGAATGAGCCTATTCCTCAAGAAAGCTTGTGTTGTCCTGTAGGGCTTCTGTTAGGTGTGAGAACATTCCTGGTTGAATCTGTAGAGGAAGAGACAGGTGGCATGGAACCAAGTTGTCCCAGTCACCCTAACTGAAGCCAGCCAACCTCCAGCTGGCCCAAGACACACGGGCAGTAAACTTGTGTACCACTGGGGTTTATGGCTGATACATTGTTGTGACATTAGGCAACAATTAGACTGATAGACCAGTATTTAATTAGCCCATCTCTGGAGCTTGGCATTTGTACCTTTTTTTACTTTTTCCTATGTAAAATCTGTCCATATTTTTGATTATTTTCTTAGAATATACAAAGTAAAATTACTGCGTCAGGAATCTCAGAATATGTTATAAAAATCATTTCCAGAAAAGTTGAACTTACCATGCTGTGCATGGTTTTTGAGAAGGTCTCTTACAGCCTTTGGCTCTTTATGCTTGGCATGTTCACTCTTTTCCCTTAATATTTTCTAGGTTTGCCTCAGGTGAGGTCCAGCCCATAGTATCTGCCTGTTGAACGTCTGTGGCAGTTACTGTCTGCCCTACTTGGTTAGCTTGTATAAGGCTCCTCAGTTATTATTATTTTATATGGATTTTTCTTTCTCTCTAATTATATATTTCTTCCGGGCAGCACAAAGATAGTGCAATGCATAGGTCTCAAACATATAGTTAGTACAATCCAATTTAACATTTCAAAAAAAGGATAATCATTTTAATTGCATGTAACTTTAGATAATTCTTTGAGACTGTCCATTTAGTAAGAAATCAAGCAGAATTTTATGGCTTTGGAGAGAAGGTAAATGGGACTTACAGAGTTATCCAAATTGGTCAAGACTTCACTTTGTTTATAGAAGCAAAACAGCATCAAATTCTGTACTTTGGTAAATTTTATATAATTTCTTCACTCCAGAAGACTGATGTAGTGTTAGCACAAATTGTTCAGTTGGACAACATGTCATGAATTATTTTTCTTCTCCAGAGTACTTTATGATCTTTAACGACACATCAACAGGGAACCACAAATGACTTATGTAGAGAAGGCAGCCTATAAGCAGGAAGAAGAACTATTGGACAACATTGAAGAAGTACAGAATATGCCTTGTTGTTTATCTGTTTATACATTTGGACCTAAGTAATGTTGGTGGGCCAGCTGCTTAACAAAGGCTGTGATAAATCAGTGTTTGTTAGATTCAGGAGTCTTAGCATAGAAGAGTGCTATAGAAGTCTTTGTGGAATGTTACCAGTTTCCAGGTGTCCTGGGTTCAAATTCCAGCTCCTACTTAATAGCTATCACCCTCAGGTAAGTACTTACCTTCTCTGTGACACAATTCATTTGTAAAATGGAAGTTGTATTATTAAAAATTGTGGTAACCCATCCTTGTGAGATTAATAAATGGTCTGGCAAAAGGGGCCGAAAGTGCAACAAGGAAGATGCTGGAGTGATGTGCAGAGATCAGAAGCTGCAGCCATTTGGGCTGCTGCCCTTGAGTCATCCTCTGCTGCACTCTTAAAGACACTGTTAGAGTGAAGCCTGGACCTGTGGGACAGGTGTCAGGTGCCTGTGCTGCAGGCGCCTACTGGAGTCACCCTGTGCCCTTAGCAACAGTATCCACCACCAACTCACGCATTTGGAGGTAGGAGCCTCTTTTAGTCCCTCAGTCCCTTCCCTTCGCACCTAACATCAAGCCACCTACCAAGAGAGCCTGGAAATGTAGTTTGCTGTCTACTAACCTCAGATGTTCAGAAGTG